ACATAATAAAGGAGGTTTTAACACAAGTGAAACATTATGAAATGCAGACAATGAGGAAAGGCTAAAGATGCTACAGTAGCGATAGAGTCAGACTTTATGAAGGATTTTATTTAAATCTCAGTTTCTGCATCAAATAATCATAAAAATTTGATTTAAAACTATAGTTTTCAAATCCAAAAAGCACAGTAGGTGCAATATTTTAACTCTCTGAGAATAAGGATGTTGTTTTTACAGTCAGCGGGTTTACATTTCTAGGAATTGCGCCATCCCACACCCTTGGTATATTCGGCTCTTTGAAATTGACCTCAGATTAGGAAAACTGTAGGAAAACTGTTGGGTTCCTTCTTTTCTCTGCTGATCCAGTCAGAAGTCAGTTTTAATGGTTGGTTAATAGAAATGGTTTCATCTGCAGGGTCTTTACTGGGATCACTGGCTGCAGGAGATCTTCCTGTTGAACCCAGTGTGAAGAGATGAGTGAGGCGGCTTTTATTCTAAATGTATGCTATTATGAAGTGAGGGTCTAAACCTGGCTGTGCTGCTCAATAATTGTTTACTGACCTTTCATTTTAGGTTTCATGGAGGATCCGTGCAGATCAGCTGTCCTGGTTTTCCTCGCTTTGCTTTTGTACTGTGTGTGTACTGTTGGAATATGTGCTACTCATGGCATGTTTGTCTGAGCCATGTGCCATCGATACTGTTTTTATTACACCTTGTGCCAAGTGCTAACAGCAGGGTATGAGTGGATGCAGCTGCAATTAGCATAATTGAAATAATAATAATGCTGACGAGCTTTCTGAGAGGAGGTAGAGCATTGCCGCGGCAATTGGCCGTCTGGCTGGTCTGCAGAGCATCCTGTTTAATTGGGATAATGGCTGGTTTAGTGGAAGTGATGCTGTTGATGTTGTTCAGTAGGCAGCCATGCCAAATTCAGCCCAGGTTTGTTGATTTATTTTGTTAATCAGGTCTAGGATCTTAATTTGTTTCTACGGTAACAGTTTCCATCTAGAATAAGCATTTTCAATAATTTTCTAGTTATCATTTAAATTTTTTTTTCTAAATTGAAAAAAGTTACATTTAGATATTTATAGATTTCATAGTTTAATATTTGTTGAATTTTAACTTTAGTGGCCAATTTTGGGTATAAAACATGGGAATCTGGCTTTGTTGTTTCATCATAATTAGCACTACTAAGAAAAACCACAGCAGGAGGGAAGCTTGAAGGGGAAATAACACGATAACAAACAGTTTAAGAACAGTATCTACAGGTGTGCTTTTTTGTGTGCTACAGGTGTGCTAATTCAGTTCTAAATAGAAGGTGGGCTCTTATGGTGCAAAAGACCCTTTAGTTTCTGACAGTGAGACAGCCTGGTGGAGGAAACTGTGTGTGGGTCGGTTTGTTTTTGGCTTTATAGCTCTGTAGCGCCGCACTGCAGGTCTGAGCAGCCTCTGATCAGGATGGGTGGGATTTGTTGGCTTTTGAGATGCTTTTTTTGTGGCCCTAAACCTACTGGTGAATGGACAGAAGGTCAGTTTGACCCTCTCTGTATATTTGTTGCAGTTTTGATCTGTCCTGATTTCTTGATGATCCGATCCACAAAGATAGACAAACACAGGACAGACTGAATTATGGTAGTATAGAAGATGACCAACAACTTGGACTTCCTAAATGCAGCAGGAGCTTCAGTCTCAGTGAGTCTATAATGGACCTCTGCTGGCTGTGCTTCTGCTGGAGGATATCTGGGTGTTGAAGACCAACACCATATTTGCCTGACCTCTTACTCTCCATCCTCACCCATTCCACTTAAAATAGCCATCAATCTCCTCCTCTCTGGTCCCTCATCCTGCCTCGCCACCAAGTGATGCAGGGTCTTCTGCCGCTGTGATCCTCAGCTATAGAGGTCACTGTTTTTCTGATCTATGAAACATCACCTTCTGTGCTGTTTGCATTGCCCAGGGGCACACTGACATAAGGCAGGAGGAAGCTGGAATCAAACCTACAACTTTTTTGCCAGATAACTGCTCCTTCTTTCAGAGCTACAGTCATCACTTATTATGAGATTTTAACCCTTTTTTAACAGAATCTGAACCAGACTAAAACTGCAAGAATCTGGGTGGAAAATATCAGACAAGGAAAGTTTCTCATTTTTTATTTAATTTTTTTATAATTATTGTTCATTCTTTCTCTGAGTGGGTTGTTTTTTCTTTTTTTTCCCTCAAAATTTTTGTTATTTTTTCATTGTGAAATTCATTGACAATCATTTCAGTAATCAATTGATTGCAAATAAAATCATTAATTGTTTTAAGTCTATTGAAATCGTTTCATCTTTTTGATTTTGGATTTTTGTGCATAGAGGGAGAGAGTAAAGAATATGAGACGATGGAGTTTTTAGTGATTGATTTAAAACTCCTCCCATCCCTGAAAATAACTCATGATTAATGATTGCTGCTGAGCTTTCCTCTGTTTGGGATTTCCTCTCAGATGAACGATTTATTGCTTGCATTGTTTCCAGTGTGGAGGTGATGGAAGCTGCTGCTTGGACTGGGAGACAGGTGTGAAGTTGTTTTTTTTTTCTTCACACAGGAATTCACTGATTTTATTTGATGGTGAGGGTGTTGGAGTCATCCTCACTGTCATTCTGCTTGCTGTTATTTCTATATCCACACCCGGCAGCTTTTGCTCCCACTGCGCCTCCATTAAAACGGCTCGATGCACACCTGAGCTGCTCCTCCTCCTCCTGGAGTTCCTCTGCAGCCTCTCCACTCTGCGTCCACCCGGCCAAACACTGGGAGTCAGGAGAATTAGCTTTCAACAAACTGGCCTACAAATGAGGCATTAGGCATCGGTAATGGAGGTACAGAAAGGTCACGGCTGTATTAATCTGCTGTCTTGGGAAAACACCCCCGAGCCGGGAAGCACAGGGAGAGCAGGCCGGCAAGTTACCAAAAACAAACCCAGAGCATAAATAAATATTTCTCCAAGCCACGGCAGTGTATTGATCATGAAGTGTTTTAGGAAACCAAACGAGCCAGGAAATGAGATTGATGTCAAAATATTTGGCTGCTGTTTGGAGCCTTTTCCCTGCTGGACTCTTTGAGTTCTGCAGGCTAGGAGCAAAGGTCGCCTCCTGCAGGATCATTGACTTTAGAGCCCTCTACACCTGCAGCGTCTTTTCATGCACTTTTCACATCATAGGTCAGGTGACCTCTGACCTTCAATGATTTTTTTCTGGCATGATAATCACCAATAAAAACTAGAACATTTGCTTCAGAATATTGCTTTATTTAATTCCCGTATTTAGATCAATTTTATATGCTTTAAACGTGTTTTTCTTTCATGTGTTGGATTGGTGGTAAAGGATATTTTTCTGGGTGGCTATTTTCCTCTCTGTTATGTTCGTGGCTGCTGAAAATTGACATCATTAGAGTTAAAACAACACTAATTCATTTTTTATTTTCTATCATGAAAAAGTCAAATTCGGTCTAATAACTGATACAAATTAAATATAAATGTGTAGAAATAAACTAATGATCAAATATTTGAATCATATTAAAAGATCAGAAGCTTCGTACTATAAGATGAACAACTGCCTCATTCAACTATAAACCTATAAAATTAATAAATATATAATCTTTTTCACATTTTTATTAATTAAAATGGATCAAATTAAACCTTTTTCTGCTTAAAGGCTCACGTACATTCAAAACAGCAAGGCCTGCTCTGATTGGTCAGGAGTTAAGGTAGCTCTTGTACTCATTCTGTGATGCTGTGCCCTGTTTCTGAAGGCGGGATAATCAGAAAGCTGGAAAACTGTTATCCAGAGTGAAGTTACTAGTGCTAATGACTCTGTGATTCAACACTGAGAAGTGTTAGAAATGGCATGTCCTTTTCTGCCAGAGCCTGTAGATAGGGAGCAAATTCTCCACATGATTAGGATCCTATTTTTCTCCAGATCCACAGGTTGTTGAGCATTTTCCTCAGAGTTAATAATTTATCTTAATAGAATAACAGCCTGCACATCCCTCATATGACAAAACATGATCTAGATGTTTGTGCTGCAAGTGCAGTTTTCTCCAAAAAACAAATTGGTGAAATCTCACTGTAAAAACACAGGCGCTCAGGAGGTTGGTTGCAATTTTATTACGTATTCTACTATATGTAATAAAAGCCATTTTGAGTTGTGTCAATTTTTCCTTCTATGCACTAACCCTGGCAATGACTCTACCTGTTTACCATGTGCACCTAACGTAACCTGAACTCATTTCACACTGCAGTCCTAAACCGTGAAGAAACAAGAAATAGCTGACCAGCAAAATGTCCTCACTTTGACACAGTAGTAGTTTTCAATAACCTATAATTAAACATTCTGCATATAAATCAGTTTTACTTGTGGGTTATATTTTCTGTAATGGTGAGTTTCAATATAATCCGAAATGATCTCTGCAGAGAAAGGTTTATGAACATCTCTTTTCTTCAGACTGCCTTATGTTTATCCCATAAACGCCTGTGATAAATGTTTTCTGTGTTTCTCAGAGTTTCCTGGTGAATCACACGTTATTAATTAGCTGAGCAGACTTCATGTAAAGACAAGTTTGCTAATATCAAAGTGAAAATGAGGTCCCAGAGTTAGTCCTCTGATAATGAAGTATCAAAGTCATCAAAAGCAGACAAAGGAACAGGAACGACTCCTTTGACAGACTCAGAGATGAGAGTCTTGCCTGGGTTCCAGTGATAGTCTCCTCATCACATCTCCAAGCTCAGAGTCAGCTTCTAATGATTTACGATTGATTGCTGTAAATAACATCAGCGTGAAGCCGCAATGGACTTGGACCCAACAATAATCATTACTAAAGTGCAGCATGTTTCAATTGTCCTTACTTGTTGTTCACTTATTGCCAATTAAAAAGGTGTGAGGCAGACATCCTCTCCAGGCTGGTTCTAGGTGCCAGGTTTGCTACCATGTTTGCTCTGATCCCTCAGACTTGTCCTCTCTGTGTTTCAGTGGAGTGGGACTGGCCCGAGCTCACTTTGAGAAGCAGCCTCCATCCAACCTGAGGAAGTCCAACTTCTTCCACTTTGTACTGGCGTTGTATGATCGGCAGGGCCAGCCGGTCGAGATCGAGCGAACATCCTACGTGGACTTTGTGGAGAAAGACAAGGTAACCCCTGCCATGATCTGACACAAATGTTTGGACTCTGTTTTTTGTTTTTTTTTCTCTTTTTTGCGCATTCAAACAACATTTTGATCACTGCCGGCTGTCAAGCATTCAATTGTTGATTGATTTAGTACTCCATAAATTTAGATTACATAAACCTCTTTAGTTATGTTTAAAAAATGTTATTTATATATGTTGCAAAATGAATTTGAATTACATTGATGAATTATACACAAAAATAAGTTGGGATGATTCAGACCCATTTGAATAAAATGCATATGAAAACTGAGTAGCTTAACAATGTTCCAACTTCTAATAGTATCTATAGTATCTATAATATCTATATCTTCTGATATATAAAATAATAACAGTGGATATTATAAAATCTATGCAATCCATGTCTGTTTGTTGACATCTGTGTAGTTATTTAACATATCTTTCTGTAGTTTCCTACTTTATAACTATATCTTTGACCTAGTCTGCATCCGAGTCTTAATTTTTTATATATTTTTTTTTATTTAGAGACATTGACAATTCCTAAGTGAACAGTAAAGACCTATTCTATTCTGTTCTATTCCATTCTGAGCTATTCTATTCTGTCCTATTCTATTCCATATTATTCTATTCGGTTCAGTTTTATTCTGTTCTTTTAAATTCTAGTCAATTCTATTCTGTTCTATTCTATTCTTTTCTATTCTATTCTATTTGATTCTATTCTGTTCTATTCCATTCTATTCTTTTCTTTTCTATTATATTCTGTTCTATTCTGTTCAGTTCTATTATTTTCTATTCTATTCTGTTATATTCTATTCTATTGTATTGTATTGTATTCTATTTTATTCTATTAAGTTCAGTTTTATTCTGTTCTATTAAATTCTAGTCAATTATATTCTATTCATTTCTATTCTATTTTATTCTCTTCAATTCAGTTCTTTTCTATTCTATTCTGTTCTACTCTACTTCTACTTCTACTTCTATTCTAGCTAATTACTTCATTATAAAGAAGAACAACTTTAAGTAGAATCAAATTCTAAGATTTAGATTGTAAATGTGGTTATTAGTGTAGCAGCATCTTTGCGGGACTGTTGTGGTGTGTAGGGCAGAACCAGAGACAGGATCAATCAATCAATCAACTTTATTGTCAACTATAATTTACATTTAATCAAGATTTCAGTTTCAGTACAAACTGTTCATCACAATACATAGCATACATTGGGATGGGGAACTGAGAGGGTGAACGGTTTTACTGAGGCCAGGCGTGCCGCTGAACACTGCCTTTGGCGCGTTCTTATGGCTTCCCAGGTTTCCACAGTTACCTGGCTTCTCAGGTCCCAGGTGGTTACCTATGGCGCTGCCTTTATCTCTGTGGAAAGATAGGAGCCACATTGGGGAAGAGAGGGGAAAAAACTCAGTGGGGCTGCTGTGTAATAAACTGGTTCTAAGCACATAGTTTCAGAGAACCCTAACTAATCGGTGCTCTGTAGCCACAGCCCCCCTAACAGGTCTGTGTTGTTTACGATGCATAACTTATATCTGCATAGCAGAAATGATAGACAGGGACACTGTTTTGTTTACAGTTGATCTATCGTTCATCGGTAGGTGAGCTTCTTATTAGTCCAAGAAAACGATAAAAAACCTGTTCAGGACACAACTAATAAATGAACAATAGTTTTCTATATTTCTGGAAGTGCTTTCGCTGCCCATCAGTTTGTGTTGCCCTGGGTGGTGAGCCATATCAAAAATCCTCCCCAGAGCCAGAATTGTGGGGGGAAATGTGAGCTGGTAGGGGCAGTGTGAGTCTTTGAGTGAAATCTTATGTCCATTATTCATCTGTAATTTACTTCAGCACCCAGCTACTACTTACCTCCAGCCACTCAGGGGAGTGGGCACCCTCACACAGGACCCCTTCCATCAGGGTGATGTTTCTTGGTTCATCTGGTTAGTTGTTCTGGACACTGTCATTCCAAGGCTTCTAGGACTGCTGAAAGTCCTGAGCCAGAGACACAGTAGACCTGGAGAGGAGTCCATGAAGAGTCAGACTGAATTAAAGGAAAGAAAGGAATGTTAAACTCAAGATTTCTGTCTGATTAGTTTAAAGGAAAGTTTTCTATCCTGAGAAGGAATCCTGATGGTTTCTCATCAGCATGAATAGTTTCTCTGTTTCCTCTCACCGAAATCACAGATGAGAGTCATAATAAGATCCATGCAGGGTTGGGGGTGTATGTTCTCTGATCGGCTGCCAGTTGGCACCAAAGTCCTGCGCCCACTCGCTCACCTCTGCCTTGACCTCTAGTCTCTCGGCCCTACGCACTGGGACTGAGCCAACGCTAGCAGGCACACTTGGCATCATACGGCCAACCAACAAGGACTCCAACAGGGGAGGGAAGAGAAATAAAATGGGAAGTAAGGACTAAAGAAGGAGAGCAGAGGGTCAGAGGGAAGAAACGATTGGAGGATGTAATGAAGAGAGATTTACTTTAATTTAGGCTGTGTTGGATCAACGTTAATGTCTGCTGACCCTTAGTCGAGCTTTCATAGTGCATCTTAGGCACAGCTGCCAAACAGAAGCTGGACAATTCTGCATGCACAGAACCAGAACATCTTTAGATCTTCCCTGCTAAATGATCTAAGAAATACAGTCCCGCCCATCTAAAAGATTCCCTTAAGCTTTATTTGAGGAATTTTCCCACAGCTCAAAGATTCTACAAATAACCTCCTAAGTTGATTAATTTGCCTCTGATTATTTCCGTAGAATGAAATAGACTTTATATCAGATGTTTACTGTGTTTCCTGTGTGTTTTCTGGCAGGAGTATAACGGAGAAAAAACCAACAACGGGATCCACTACCGCCTACAGCTGCTGTACAGCAATGGTAAGATTAGAGCTGGCCAGGGATCGCATCACTCAGTGGGGATCAGTCAGCTTCAGGGACCAGATCAATACACGAGTGTAACTTTGGGCCTGCAGATATTTCCTGGTAGCTTTTATTGACATAGATTCCCAGCAAATGAACCACCTTTTCATGGATGATAATTCTGACCGACATCTGGGATAGAAATCTGCTCACAGAGATAATATCCTTAAAACATGGGCTTTATTAGACATTTAACTGTATAAAATCACAGCATATGCACAGACTCTTAAATAATATCTTTTATTTTATCAGAACTTTGTACCAAACATATTTGGCAACCTATTTGTTGATTGGTCTCCATCTTTCCCTATTGAATCCAGCCATCAAAGCTACTTAATTGGATGAAGTGGGAAAATGAATTCAGAACTAGTTTGTTTTGCTGCAAGGTCCAAAATCTTGCATATTGCTTTGATTGTTTCCTGAAACTTCCCTAAACTGCTAAACTGCAAATTGGGTGAATAATTGATACAGAGGGATAATAACCAGGAAAACAGATAAAAAAAAAAGAAAACATCAGTAAGAAACTGTGTAACAATCTAATAAAACCATCAGGAGATCAGTTAATTTCAGCAGACTGTTAAATCAGATTAGATGTTTTAAGGGTTTACATTTCTGTCATCTCAGGAGCAGAATTCGACAATATATCTATAACGGTTGTTCTCCTGGTGATGCGTTTGTTCTGATATCACCACCACAGAGCCTTCCTAAAAAAAACAAATACAGGTGCTGGTCATAAAATTAGAATATCATGAAAAAGTAGATTGATTTCAGTAATTCCATTTAAAAAGTGAAACTTGTATATTATATTCATACATTACATACAAACTCATATATTTCAGATGTTTATTTTGTTTAATTTTGATGATTACAAATGACAACAAATGAAAATCTCAAATTCATCATATCAGAAAATTAGAATATTACTGAAGACCAATAAAAACAAAGGATTTATAGAAATGTTGGCCAACTGAAAAGTATGAACATGAAAAGTATGAGCATGTACAGCACTCAGTATTTAGTTGGGCCTCCTTTGGCCTGTATTACTGCAGCAATGCGGCGTGGCATGGAGTCGATCAGTCTGTGGCACTGCTCAGGTGTTATGATAGCCCAGGTTGCTCTAATAGTGGCTTTTAGCTCTTCTGAATTGTTGGGTCTGGTGTATTGCATCTTCTTCTTCACAATACCCCATAGATTTTCTATGGGGTTAAGGTCAGGAGAGTTTGCTGGCCAATTAAGAACAGGGATACCATGGTCCTTCAACCAGGTACTGGTAGCTTTGGCACTGTGTGCAGGTGCCAAGTCCTGTTGGAAAATGAAATCTGCATCTCCAAAAAGTTGGTCAGCTGCAGGAAGCATGAAGTGCTCTAAAACTTCCTGGTATGTGGCTGCGTTGACCCTGGACCTCAGAAAACACAATGGACCAACACCAGCAGATGACATGGCACCCCAAACCATCACTGACTGTGGAAACTTTACACTGGACTTCAAGCAACGTGGATGAAGTGCCTCTCTTCTTTTCCTCCAGACTCTGGGACCTTGATTTCCAAAGGAAATGCAAAATTTACTTTCATCAGAGAACATGACTTTGGACCACTCACCAGCAGTCCAGTCCTGTTTCTCTTTAGCCCAGGCAAGACGCTTCTGACGCTGTCTGTGGTTCAAGAGTGGCTTGACACAAGGAATGCGACAGCAGAAACCCATGTCTTTCATACGTCTGTGTGTGGTGGTTCTTGAAGCACTCACTCCAGCTGCAGTCCACTCTTTGTGAATCTCCCCCACATTTTTGAATGGGTTTTGTTTCACAATCCTCTCCAGGGTGCGGTTATCTCTCTTGCTTGTACACTTTTTTCGACCACATCTTTTCCTTCCCTTCGCCTCTCTATTAATGTGCTTGGACACTGAGCTCTGTGAACAGCCAGCCTCTTTAGCGATGACCTTTTGTGTCTTGCCCTCCTTGTGCAAGGTGTCGATGGTCGTCTTTTGGACAACTGTCAAGTCAGCAGTCTTCCCCATGATTGTGTAGCCTATAGAACTAGACTGAAAGACCATTTAAAGGCTTTTGCAGGTGGTTTGAGTTAATTAGCTGATTAGAGTGTGGCACCAGGGGCCATCAATTTTGAACCTTTTCACAATATTCTAATTTTCTGATATGATGAATTTGAGATTTTCATTTGTTGTCATTTGTTATCATCAAAATTAAACAAAATAAACATCTGAAATATATGAGTTTGTATGTAATGTATGAATATAATATACAAGTTCCCCTTTTTAAATGGAATTACTGAAATCAATCTACTTTTTCATGATATTCTAATTTTATGACCAGCACCTGTACTCTTTGATTAATGAACCTTAGAAACAGAGTTTTCTGGGCTGCAGCTGAAACCACCACAGTTTATCTTTAGATTCTGCTGAACAAACTAAACTTTCTGACAAAACCACATTTAACCTAAATTCAGCCTTTTTTAAGGTATTGAGATTTCCAGCATGGATTGGTGAGGTCGGGCTAATGAATGCCATTTTCCCCAGGTGAAGCTGCTGTTGGCGTGATTTAGACCGCACATTAAAGGTCACCTCAGCGCACGCAAAGTTGAACTCAGCTGTACAGTTAAAAGTCTGGAAAAAGTTTCTCATTATCAGAGCTGCAGACATCTGGAATGTGTGACAGAGCTGAATTCTGGTTTGTCCATCGGGTGGTGGCGGGGTTCCTGGGCTGATTGGAAACACACAACTTGGCCCCGTTCTGGTCTGAGTCCAGCCTAATGCTCTCAGACCCCCGCAGAAACACCAGATAAAGTGGGACATAAAGGAGCGTTTCCTTCCACAGGCCGATAAATCACTCTAATACGGAGCCACGGATTAGCATCGTACAGAGGTAATTGACCTCATCTGCAACTGGGATGGATAGACGCCATTTAAGCTGCAGAGCGAGGAGTGAATCATGTCAATTAGAAAGCAGGGAAGCTGCGAGGAAACGGCCCAAACTATGAGACGCTACAAAGCCATTTCTTCCAGTACAATTAGAGGCGCTGTGCCACTAACAGGTGTTCCCGGCAATTTTCCTCCTCCACCCCATGTCGTGTTTGTGTCACATTTACAGTCGGATGCATAGCTAATAAAAGACACGCAGTCCTGATTGATATTTAATTTGTCTGAGAATGAGGATCCCTTGTTCTCCTCAAGGAAGGAGGCAGCGGGGAGGAGAGAGGCGCTACGCAGTTTTAAGGCGGCCCGCCTATAAATAATAAACAGCTCTGCAGCAGCGCTAATGTTTGCGTTTGCAGACGGAGGGGGGCAGGGTGTGTGTGTGCGTGTGTGTGTGTGACAAGAGGCTCTGCAAACATGAATACACAACGAGCACATAAACAACCTGATCGTTCTGCTACAGCACATTATTAGGACTAGTTTCCTTTGTTCCAGAGCATTTTGAATCACCATAACAGCCTAATGAATGTATGTAGCCTAGTATTTTGTGTTAACGTGTTTCAGAGTCCCAAAGCCAAACTGTTGGGGTCTCACTGCTGTGTTTTTGCATTTCTTGTGATTCTCAGGTATCCGGACAGAGCAAGATCTTTACGTCCGGCTCATCGACTCCATGACCAAACAGGTGAGACACCAGATCTTAAACGGGACCCACACACTGGCACCTATCTCACACTTTGGCTCCATTCATTTTTATGATGTATAAAGTGCTATTTCACACTTATTCCACTTTTTAGAGAGGTTTCTTTGGGTTCCTTTTTAAAGATTTAAAGGTGATAGCTACATGTTTAAATTCTCCTGACCAGTTAAGCCAGGCATACACTGTGTGATATTTTCAATCATTGCACGCAGCTATAGCTCAAACTGTGCGACGAAACCGCAGGGTCTAAAAGTTCACAGCTCACAATGTATGTTCTTACGCTGTACATCCCGATGCGATCTAGCTGCATGTCTAAAAACCACACGTCGGACTGAGTACCGAGAGATTGAGGCTGTTTCTCAATTCACAAGAACTCGAGTACGGACTTGTGTCCTCGCAAAGTAAGTTCTTGAGAAGAACACAAGAAAATATGGACTCTGGGAGAACGAGAGCACGCAGCAAAAATATGGGTCAATTGGAACAGAAGCGTACTCTGGACGTCACCACATGGCCGGCTAGCCTGGAGCTGCATTTCACCTCCTGTTATTAATAGTCTCTAGATACTAATAAATTCTTTCTTTTTTCATTTATTGGGGAAATAATAATGAACACAGTTAGATAAAAAAAATAAAATAAAATAAACATTTGCCAAATAAAACAATCAAACATCCATCAGAGCCAGTGGAACTTCACACATGGCTAGGCCGAGAGAGGGCTGCTGCTAGGATTAGACCCTGCTGCCATTAACCACGGAGGTCTGCTGGTTGCCGCGGTTCTCTCAACTTCAGAACTTTTTTTTTGTTTGTTTTTATTATGCACTAAATTAGTAAACGGGCCATATAATGACGCTTAAAAGTATAATGTTCTCGCTTCAAATGATCTTAAAATGTACTTTTATTGAACAATGGAAACAGAAAGCAGAAATTTTAATTTAATACTTGAAGCTGCTGCTGCCGCAGTGCATGCTGGGACAGCGGTCAATCTCAAGAATGGGCATGTCTGCTCTGATGCATACCCTGTAAATAGGGAGGGGCGCGAACAACATCCGGGGGCTTTGTCCATTCTCAGTCGGTTGTTCTTGTGAATTGGAACAGTACTAAGGCTGAGGGTGATGACGTTTTAAGAGGACACGAGCACATGAGAACGCACAAGTACACATATTGAGAAACAGCAAGAACTGGTTGAACTCGTCAATCTGAAAGAAGATGGAGAAGGACCCTGTTGTTTGCACATGTACAGTGCTTGAGGGTTTGGTAAATCGGCTTGTATTCTTTGTAGCTCCGCTTTAACTGCAGGATTTGTCCACGAACATTTCACGACGGCCGACTGAATTTCAAACACCTTTTATTCCTGATCAGGAGGTAATCGTGAGAGGCTAATCGCCCCTCCTTACCCCCTGTACACTACACGATGCAGGACACACAATGAGACTGAAACTCGGCCCAAGGTGGAAACTTGTATCATTTAGAGCTTACTTTTATTTTTTTAAAGCCATTTAGAGTGTTTTAATTACATTCTGTCTTGCTAATGTTGATATTACTCTGTACTGCCTGGCAGAAAACATGACCAAATATTCAAATTAGATGATGATGTCATCTACTGACTTTTAGGATGGCGATTAGTGAGTCTCCTCACTAGATATAACAGCGGTATCGTCCTTCAAGCTCCAGATTGCAGATGTGCTGCATCTGGGTGGCAATATAAGGCATATCGCCGATGCTTCATTCCAACTAGTAAATGTGCCATAGCTGTTTACCTGCCATCATCAGTGTCCCTGTTAATAGCCTGCGTGTTCAGGAAGGGCTGTATCACAGTAGGGAGTAACAAAGATGGGCCTGTAAGGTATAGCTGTTTAAATTCTCACTCTAAGTCCAGGTTTTCTCAGATCCCCCCACTGCAGCTTTAAACCATCATACATTTTAGAATATTTTTCTAAAGGGGTGGAGGAGGTAGTGGTGGGGGGTATCTGACAGACCAGTGGAATATTGTTGAAAAGTGAACTTAAGAATGCTTTAGAAATCATTTAAAAAAATTTGTGGAGTGGATTTTTATTCCCCCCCCCCCCCTTAAATCAGATCTCTGTAGAACGTCCTCCGGCTTTGTCTCTACTAACTTTGAACACCTTCAGAGTGGAACCTCTATCCATTCTTCTCTTTAAATTGTATTTGTTAATGTGAAAATCAGAACATTTCTTCTTAAACGTTCTTATCAGTGACTAAGACTTTATTCTAAGATCTGTCTCTTAAGTAGAACACAAAAAGCAGTTTTCACAGCATCTGTTGTTCTGACATTACCTGACTGGCTTATGATTCTGTGAAAATACATCTGACTAAGTTTGACCTACTGAAGGCAACCATGTGTCAATAATGATCAAATATTAAAGAAAGATGAATAAAAGTGTATCTCACTTTGTATATGTGAGCATATCTGTTGCTGAATGAAGCCGGTCCTGCTCAGTTACTGATGCTTTTTACATCTGGAGGCTTTTGTTATGGATCAGTACCAGCTCAATGCAGAATCAGCCAGGCTCTTCATCCTTAGCTGTTCGTATATTCAGCTTCAGATCAAGATGTATTCCCTGATTCTTGGAAAACTGTATTAATTTTATGAAAATGACTCAGTCTCCTAATACATTCTGATGTTTTTTTCTGGGAAAGTTACAAATATAGAGATTTTTTTTGCATTAATCAATTTTTAGCGTTATTTCTAATAAGAGTATGTACTGCCACTTAGTTTCAGTTCATATAGAACTATGATGTCTCCTAAATGTGAGATTGTGTTTTTAAGGGAAGCTAAATATGTGTCGATGTGACTGTGAGGTTAGAGGTGGGCTGCTTTCTGTCCCTCAACTTCTCTCAAATTAAAAATTGTGTAAAATGTGTAAAACCAACCTCCTTCTCATCTTCCTCTTGCTCTTCCTCTTCCGCCTTCTTGTTAAATTCTCTAACTCTTGCTTGCAGCTCTGATGTGTTTTCCTTTCCAGCCAGTGTAACTTGGACCTTTCTGGGCCTCCCATTTTTCCCGTTTTCACTCACTCAGAATCCCATTTGGGATTTCAACCTGTGAATGGCTTCACTGCCAAAAAAAACCTGCAAATGTTTCCAAGTTCCAGTCAATTCGACCTCCCAGCCTCCATCAGCTGCACATTCTTCTTCCTCATGCTTAAGAAAAGTTAACATCAGGACAATGACCCACAAACCCCAAACACTCTCAAACAGCTTTACTTAAAGGATATTGTTTTGCATTGACTAAGGAAGCACTGATGCTGAATGTCACAAATCTTCTGGAAAATAGTCTGATTTTTGGAATTCTGGAAAATAATCCAGAAAAATAGAATGGATATTCCCTTTATCACCTACTAAATTAAGCAAACAAGTTAATAATGTATACAGGCTTCCAGACTAGAAAATAGGAAAAAGGACAAAAAACTTTTGTACAGAAAGGACAAAAAATATCTCACTAAATAACATTGCTTCACTTATGAAATAAAATTAAGATTTTAAAAGACGTGTGAAGCAGTTAAAAACTGCAAATAAAGGCTTTAAAGTACAAAAAAAACTAAGGGGTCGTTCGCCATGACCATCGTTTGCACAAGTGTAGTAAACATACTTGAACGGGGGATGGGGGGTCAAACTAGTGGCACACATTTTTTAAAGGATTCCTCACTTCAGATTATCACATATTTTACTCTACTAGCACATTGAAATTGATCTTAAAACTGTTGTTTTATGTTTCATTTATTTTTGACATGATTTTGGTTTTGTTTAAGTTTAATTGGTTACATTTCCATTTTGTGTGGTATTCTAGTTGTATGTGAGTTTTCATGTATTTCTTGTTTACCTTCTGTTGCCCCCCTGTGTCAGTCTCCTTCCACTAACTCCCTTCTAGATGCTTCCATCCACACCTGCTCCTCATCTGCTGATTAGCCCAGGCTTGTGTGTGCTCATGTATATTTTCCCTTACATGTCCTGGTTTTTGGTTTTCAGTTTTCAGTTTTTGTACTTTGCTTCTGTTTGTCTTTTGACGAATATTAAATCCGCTAAAAACCACATCCACTTCCGTCTCTGCATTTGGGTCCTCTTCAAACCTCAACTCAACCTGACAATTTTGAATTTGTTTTAATTAGTAACTTTGCAAGCAAGTGTTCACCAACAACAAATATACCTCTAAATAATTCACCTTTATTGGATAGTCCCAGCTACGATAACAGCAGGGATTGGTGAAAAAAATCTGATGTTTTTTTTTACTAGTTAAAATGTTAAAAAAATTCTTAATCACTGCAAAGTGAATCTATGCAACAGAGCAACTGAGTGATCTATATATGGCCGCCATGTATAGATGGTTAACATTGGGTGTGGTTGGAAAGCACAGGTAATATTAACGACATATCTGCTGAGCTGAAGGATGGGAACCTATTTGATTTGATCTGGTTGGACCAAACTCATAAACCTCTAATACCTGTTCAATGTGAATGATCCCCCAACACCTGTCTTCCTCTCTCTCACATACCCACACACACCCACCTCCACACACGCTGCTTGGTCCTGTCGGCATGTCCCCGATCGATATACCAAGCAGCTCCCCAACCAAGCGCCAGCCGATCAATAGGCCCTAATGCAGCAAAGCGACGACACACTGGAGACAATAATCCTAACACCTCCTCCTCCTCTGTGACAAACACACACTCTGCTCCACAGCTTCACCTCCTTTGACAAGACACCCCATTGGTCGACAGTCAGACCTGACAGACAGGTCGGCTGGAGTCCCTGCAGATCAATAAGGGCCTGGCGGCCTCCTGTCAGGGGCCTCTGATCTGCAGAGTTGTTGAAGCAATGAGGAGCTATGCTAATGTAAATCCAATTGTTGAATTCATTTTACACAAATAATCAGACCACAGCGAGAAAGTCATGGGGCACCATTAATGCGGTTAATCTTGGTTTACTAAAAGTCGTCCGCATTTTCACAAAATGAAAGAAACATGGAGTGTATTCAAATAATCTTATTTTCTCTGTTTGTAAATGTTATGTTGCTTAGAAACAGGATAATCTGTATTGCACCAGTCTCAGGAAACAAAACGAAAACTTCTTCAGGGGTCGGTTCATTTTATCACTAAGAACCCAACCGTATCAATGTGCTTGACAACAATAAGCCAAACCACAAACCCTAAGCACATATGCAGAATAAACACCAACAAATTTTCTCTAGAGAAAAAATCGTTCCAGCTTGCGGATAAAATAAGTAAGTAAAAATAACAAACAATAGAATAAAAACAGATGAAAAACTACAGCCAATGACCTAAAAAATTTGCTCGGAGGTTTTTGGGATGAAACAAACATTTTTTTAGTAAAATATGTTTTAATGATTTTCCTAATAGGAGACCAATAACTTTTTGAACTATAATATAACTGATGTATCATCTAGCTCTCACAGGATGTGATGGAGGACTAAAAATGTATCTTAAACCGTTGATAGAGCAACATTTTTAAAGATGTGACCGGTGTGATGATGTCAGTATTTCCAGAGTGTCTACTATATGGCAACCCTTTTAGGTCTCACATGTACCTTTTTAATCCCATTATTAAAAAAATGTGCATGAGTGCTGGTTTTGTTCTACAGCAGATCATTAGGCTAACAGAACGGGCTGTAAAATAGAGAAAAGGTTATGAACGTATTCCCTTCTCTAATGTTACTGAATAAATATGCACGTTTTAAAGTAAAGTCTTTTTTTCTTATCTAATCTTTCCAAAATAAAGCCTTTAAAATGTCAATATACACTGTTATTTAATTTAAACTGTCTTAGTTTTTTCTGAACTAAGAAAACAAAGTTAATCTTAGTATAAATTACCCAAAAATGTCAGACTTTCGCTGTGCCTCAGTTTCAAACAAACAATCTCTTCTTTCAATTAAGAAACATTTCACGATTTCTTCAAATGCACCTTCTTAAAATCTAGATTTTTATATCCGCAACATGTGGTCAAAAGCACTAAACATAAGCTATTATTATAAGCTATTATTATAAACAATTTTCCATCCATTCATACTGTTTTACCTTTAAAATAAATTTTTTCAAGTTTGGTGTCACTTCCTTAGACATTTTTAAGTTATGCTATAAGAAAAGATTTTTTTAAAGATCCTCTCCTGATCATCACGTTTGTTGAAATGAGATTATAAGAAACTAGTTTTAGTCCCGCATCCTTCAAAAACCAGAGCTGATTCCCAGCTGAAATCAGAAGCAGACTGTAGAGATTAACCTGCTAACAAGCATGAAGGTGGCGTCCTGGCACGAGGAACGATGATGTATAAATATCGACCAGCTGGATGTTGTCTCTGTTCCTGATGTAGTCCACATCCCTTCTGGTTAAAGTGGAGCATTTTAATCCAGAGGAACAGAGCCAGGGCCATGATCAATAATGCAGAAGTGGTCGTTATCCTAAAAGTATTGTCCCCCAGGGTGTGTATGGGTGTGTGTGTGTGTGTGTAGGGTGGAGGTCTGTTTTAACCATAAAGGTGGATGAGGTAGTTGTTGGTCATGGCAGGAAAAGAGCAGGAGGAGGAATAAGGACACACACACACACACACACACACACACACACACACACACACACACACACACACAGCCTTGCTTTTAGTGGAGCACATTTACAGTCACCAGGGTGATACAGAACACACACCCACTCCTTTCTACCCCAGGATGGTCATCTTTATTCTGAATGCCTTCCCCAAGAAGCTCAGGTCCCGAATCCTCTACCTGATTCCAGACGCAATGACAATGGCCTCTAGAAGCATATGTCCAAACATTTTTTTGCACTCACCTCACTTTGTGGGGTTAAGTATAAAAGGGGGCGCCGTCTGCCATGTGGCAGAGAACTCTGGAAAGGCTGGAGGAGCCAGTGACCACCATAGGGACAGAGTTGTTGGCGGCCATGTTTGATTTTACTGCTAGCTGTGTCCATGGGGCAGTGGGGGAGGACCTGAAGTACCTACTCACTCTTCTTCTGATTAGCTTCTGTAATTGAAATGTGGTTGAATGGTTCCTGCTTATATTGGAACCATCTAAACCAGACCATAAGGTCAGATGCTTATATTACAGTTACGTACAGCCTACAGTTTGCAGTCCTCTGATTGCGTGAAACAGTCCTATTCTACAGTATTTTGTCTTCTTGTGCTAAATGCAAAAGGTAAATGTCATCATCTCCATAAGGTGAAATATTTGCATCCTCAGTCTAGAGGTACGGCCTCTGGTTTGTTCTCACCTCAGACAGCCCTCTCTCATCTCTCTCTTCTGCTCTAAAGGCGCTTACAGACTCAGCTATTTTCTCTAGGAGACCTGTTGTGTATCTTTGCCAGATAAAGTTGGACTTGGGAAAGGTCAGAAGGGAAATGTTTAGAATTTTGGTTAATACTAATGGCTGAGCTGTTGCATGACCTGCAACGCCGGGTTGACGCCACCACAAGGTTGATCCTCTCTGCTGCACTCAGGAACTGAGCTGGAGATCCGGCTCTGGGAAATATTCTGCCTTTAATGTTTAGAGCTCAATCCTAAGCATTTCTAACAAACAGAAACTAAACTTTGGAAAATTCTACTGAAGCAGAAGGTATACAAAGTCAATAGGCCACAATATAATAAAGTGGCAATAATGCTATTTGGGAATTTTGAAATTTCACTATAACAAAGTGCATGCATGCAAACTATCTTTATACTAAGTAAATACATTATAATATGCTGTATTTCTTAAAAAAAAATGTAAATAGTAAATGAATATATTCATTTCATGAGCATGTGTTAAAGACATCCTAAATTTATTTAATCTCTCCTCATAACAAATTAATTAATTAGGCAATAGGAAAATCAGTTTTAATGATTTTGATTTTTTAAGGTATCTGCAGCTGAGTTTAATGATGCGCGTTAGAAAAGGAAGCAACAAGAGATTAGAAAAAACATAATAAATCAACACCTTAATAACAGAAAATATACTTATTTGATCTTAAAAGTTTACTTTTAGTTGAAGAAGTTGAGGAGTCAAAGGAAATGTGATCTGTTTTCACTGTCAGTATGTTAGCTGATGTGATGCTGAAAGCCAGCTCATGTCAGTTAGACCTTTTTAGATAGAGCCACTGACTAGGCTGAACTGGCAAGGCTGCAGTGCATTGGTAAACATATTCCCTAACTTTGGACTTTATGAAACACATTGAATCGGTACCTGCGCTTTTTCCTTCCCCTCAATTTCCCATCATATGTTTAGTTGTAGAGCAACAGCATGTTTAACAATGATCTTCATTTTTGTGGCTTTGGTTCAGATCAAATTCTGTTTGTTGCATAGTGGTTTAAAATTGAAAAGGTAAGACTAGAGAATTCATTGGACCAAACATTTTGGACTTGGATAAAGGGACTGTTGTTATTTTTTTTTGTCCGATTCTTATTCTTGTAACTCAGAAATGAGGATTTGCTGTTGGGTTTGGGTCAGAATGTGACTCCGGTTTTCTGTTTATGTCCCACCAGCCCATCCTGTACGAAGGTCAGGACAAGAACCCAGAGATGTGTCGTGTCCTCCTCACCCACGAGATCATGTGCAGGTAAGCGGCTTAGAGATCCTCCTGCAGCAGTGTGTCAGGCTCTCAGCTATTCTGGAGTGATAATGAAGCTGCACAGGAAGTGTGCTTATCTGCTGTCATAGATGATTACCTGCAAATACGAAACAAAAGGCTTCATTTGATTCCATATAAAGCATTGAGAAAAGACGAGTCCTTGAAAATAAAAGCTGCTGAACACTGAGTGGTTCTCAGTTGGTGCGTTCTCCTGCCGTGTCTGTAGTCGAGGAAAAAAAAAAGAGCAGCTGTTGGTTTGCCGTTCATCGCAACAATCAACACGTCTCCTGCCCTGCCTTTCTCTGCTGTTGGCTGTCAGTTAATGGTTTTATTGGCTCAGACCAAGGAGGGAAGAAGAAAGTGAGAGTGTCTTCAGGGCAGAAATAGGTCAGAAACTCAAGTCTGGATGTGAGATATGTGGCTTTAACATCTGTTGCATGGAGCCTAGCTGGTTTTGTAGTTGAACTCATAACTGAGGTGGTTATCTGATGAGGAAACCAGTCTGCACTGACTGATCAGCTGACCTGACATTTAGTGCAAGACATGTAAATGTAAATCACCCAACAATGACTAGCCATACATAGCTGTTACTGCTGTTCAATAGGGCTCCTTAAGGTGCAAAATAATGTTCCTGCAGCAGAAAAAGAATTAAGTTCAAGACATTTTCTACATTTTATCTAAAAGTTTTATTGAGGGCTTAGTTGTTTATGCTGCAGCTTACGTGGTTTAATCTGGTGATTAAATCTGATAAATATGTAAAGAAGAAATTAGGAATCGGCTGAATGAAAAGGCAAATCAAGAGGAAAGATTTATGGAAGAAAGAAGGAATAAAGAAAAACAAAAAGAAACATTTATTCTCTGTTTGCTCATAAGTTGGACAAAAAGGAAATAAAGAGGAGGAGCTATCATGGGACTGATCTGCTCCTGCAGGGCCAAATAACTTTATGCATTATTGTTTGATTCCTTAAAGAATTGAAAGGGTTTAAACTGAACCAACTCTTACCTCAATCGTCAGGGCTGCTCGTTTGTAAATGATCTGAAGCTCATAGTTACACCAATGGAAGATGGACAGAGGTGGCCATGTCTTTGTCTGGAAGTTACCCCCCACCGCCCAATAACCCTGTCTGCCATCAATAGGAGCTTCATCTGCATCACGGCGGCTGTCTGTCTCTGGGCTGCAGTCATTATTTGATGGAGGGAGATTATTGCACAGCTCCTCACTGATGGATGTTGTCTTCAGCCACTAATGAGTGAGCGATTGGCCCATCTTCTGACTCCCTGAGCCTCCCTAACGGCACCGTCCCATTTGAAGACGTCCTGAGATCTGGATGGCTCCAGCAGCTGTTGGTTTCTGTCCATGTAGCTTCATAACATTAAACTTAGCAGAACATCTCCTGTGGATCAGATGTGTGTAAATCCTGAGAAAATTTCCACTATAAATGGTTCCTCCTGTGATCAGAGTTCATTCAGACCTTAAAAAGGTTGTTCTTTTAATTGGCTGAGCCTCCATCCATTTATTGATCCATTCACTGCAGCATGTGCAAGACCATGTGGTTTATAATGATTCATTAATGGTCGTAATTGGAATTATTGTTAGACGGAGCAAAGAGCAAGAAAGAAAATATGATCTAAATGCCAGGAAATTCATGCAGCTGATCAATAATTCAAGGCCTCATCATCCCAAGCATTTCTACTGGATCGATGGGATGCTGGTCAGAACTATGATGAAAGTGGTATTAAATTAAATTCAGGGCAGATTTTAAAACGTGACTTTAACTCAGTAAATCTGCAGCAGCCCTGCAGGAGATGATTTCCACATGAGTATGTTTGTATAACTGTAATCATGGTAGCTTTAAAGACTTTTAAACCTTAAGATGTAAAGTTTCTTTAAAAGGTTTTAGCTTGATGTTTTCCCTGCTGAACAAGTCACATGAAGAATCTGGATCCAGGGAAGCTGCAGCTGAAACGTTGCCAAAATGGTTCTTGTAGAACGGCTCAGGTTGTGATTTTTCTGACAGTTGGATGCTCTCTGCTCTGACTGATGCCGATAGATTTGTTTGCTTCCACCCGCCAGCGCGATGCATTGATCATCTTTAAACGGCTGATTATATTAGAGCTGGTGGCAGACTTAGCAGTAGCTGCCAGACTGCCAGGCGGTGTTGCCCCCGGCCCTTCCAGAGGCTCGCCAGGTCAGGGCCTCATGCCTCAGCTCTGCCGGCTGCCAGGTTGCAGGCGGCGCTGGAATAACGCTGCTGCAGAGAGGCTCCAGGCCTTTGGGTAATTACAACACTTGGCCTATGAAAGTCATCCTGGCGTCCTGTTTGGTGATTTCTGGCTGCTGCCTTTAGAGTTCCACCGATCCCGGCATTCTCAGGACATCTTTGGACAGCCCCTCAGTTTTACAGACTGAGAAAGTGATTCCCTGAACTTCTCTGTGGGCTTTGAGCACCACTCATCTGAAGTGGCTCCTTAGAAGTAAAAGCTGAATGTTGGAGCTGGATTTTTTTTTCTTTGGTTTGTGTGTTTTTGTTTGTTCAGTCTCAGAAAGAACTCTCTGGCAGCCGAGTGACAGCAGCAACAACAGCAGTGTGTTTTATTTCACCTACCCAGACACACACAGAGCCGCTCAGGTCCGTGCGTGTTGTTCCTCTCAGTCATTAGCTGGCCGCAGTGTTAGCCCGCCTGTGGCCCGGGGGGAAACGTCATTAAGGCGGCATTGTGGACGCTCACCCAAGGTTTGTTTTCGTCTTTGGAAAGGGTCCCCAAGTCCCCGGAGGGGCCCCGGCAGTGCTCCTGGGGTCTGGTTTGTTTATAACACTTCTTTGGCAGTTTGGAGGAGGTTGTCACCACAGCAGCACCAGTGGGTTTCCAATGCTAATTGGTCTCCTGGAACTTTCACTAATGGTTCCAAGTAGCTGGGGGAATAAATTATTGTGGCAACAGTCACACGTACACACGCATGCAGCCGCCCAGACACAAACACTGCGCTGATTTTATGATTTTTCTCTACTTAGAGATCAAACAGCGTGATAAATGATTCATAAAGCGTCTCATTTGGCATTCGAAGCCTCGATTTGACGCTTGTTTGTCAAATGGCAATTTGATTCAGGACAGCATGGGGCCAATGCAGGAGTGTAATTGGACGTCACGGGTCAGATGCAGCATGATTAATTTTTAAGAATTACCGGAAGATATGTTAATGCCGTTTCAGAAGCTTGTCAGAAGATTATTGGCAGAAAATTAGATCTTATGTTGAGTGAGCGTTGTTCTTATCAATCATAGATGCTTTTTCACATTAGCATTACAGAAAGCTGGAGCTCATGTGCTGCGTATGAAATTAATTTGGACAAATATCGGAACGTTTCTGTCTCCTTGGAGGACAGAAGATGGAAATGTTTCCTCTGAGGCTAAAATGGGAACGACTTGGATCGTCTGAACTGGATCAGTTGGACATATTAGGTTACGCCTCTGATTTATTGTCTCAACAGTATTTTAATGTGTAAAACTAATTTCATTTTACTGTGGAATTGTTCCTAAAACCACCTTGCTATTTTCCCTGGGCTGTGACTGTCAGGCAGCTTCTGCAGATGATTAATCATACAGGATGAGATGATCTGAGTATAAACTGGGAACTAGCTCTGAGCAGACAGAAGATCTGTTCTGACTCTCCATTAAATTTGAGCTGAAATATTCGTCTCACATCTACATTAAATGTATTTATTCAATCAAGCAGTACTGATGTTTAATGCATCTCAGTCTTACGGTACATATTTCAGACAGTTTGACAACTCTCTTTGCCTGATGCCTGCTTGTGCCTACAGGCAGTCCTAAGGGCTGTTGAAATGATTGCTTATTTTCCCTTAAAGTGCTTATAGATCTAAGATGGCCTAAATGTCCTTCTAAATGAACCAGAGCTGATTGGTGTAGTTACTTCAGTTCTATAAATGTTTTCTGTAGATGAAAAAAAACAGTAGCTTCTGCAGAATCTTTATACTTTATGTCTTTGCTAAAATAAAGCAAGAAAAACAACCATATCTTTATCATTTACAAATATTTAAATCTCATCTCTTAATCTTCTGAATACAGCATTATGCTTCTTCATGTGAGGCAAATGCTGCCTTATAATTTTTTTAAATGTCTTATTTGATTAAATTCTTATAATTCTTTAACATAATTATATATGCCTTCAGGTTTTATATTTCCCCACCATTATCCTGAAATATTCACACTGTTCTCATTAATAGAAAACACTGAACAGCTAAATTTGTCTAATTCTTACCAATTTCTTCCACAAATTTTTGCATCAGAGTATTAATCCCATTTTTAGACTAGCTCCTATTTGCTGCTCAGGGTGGCTTGTTGATGTGTAACGTCAGATTAAGAGTCTGAATGTTCTGAGAACATCTGTCTGATGGATATTCATTTGTTGGAAGAAGCCATCTGCTGTTCCAAACACTACAACGAACCATCACATGATGAGTCTCAATAGGCTTCGTCGGTCCTGCGCAGCATGCCTAGAACCTGGTGTCCCCTCAGGGTGCAAGCTGCTGGGCTGGTTTTAGATGCAGCAGCCGGCTTCCTCACCCTCAAGCTGCATCGACGGCTGTTCTGGCCAGAACACGTCCAGTTTGCTGGCTGTCTGTCACAGGCAATAACCTGCAGTAGGAGGTGGGGTTGCTGGAGGGATATTATACATTGTTGGGTCTTATCCAACTGTCTGTGACCTCAGTTTGGATTCAACCCAGCTGCACAAAAATAGCTTTTATTGATCCATAATCCCCAAGTTTTTTTAAACTAGAGAAAATGTAATTTCTTTATTATAATATATAAACTCTTCTTACACTTTACTGTCTTATTCTTTTTACCTGATGGTGGTAAAGTATAATTTTAGGATAGGTTGGGTTCAACTGTCCTGGACTTTGGTTCTTCACCCACTGGATGGATGGGCTGGGGTGAATTAACTCTCAGGCCTTCTCAAGGCAGAAGACAATTTTCATGTAGTCTGATCACCTGGAGGAAACCCATGAAAGTTGCTGTGGGAATTGGGCCATTGCTGTTCCAAACCATCTGGTCCATGAATGGCCAAAGCAGGATCTGCTGTCGGACTCTCACGTTCTGATTCTGCGCTGCTAACCGATCATAGAGAGACAGATCAGAGCTTCATCTGCTGTAATAGCAACTCTGGTCAGAACCCTGGTGGTGAGGGTGACTCTGAGCGAAAAGATGAAGGTCTTCATTTACTGCTCATTCTATGCTCCAGCAATTACCTATAATCTGGAGATGTGGACCAGGACTCGAACAATCAGAGCCCAGGTGCAACATGCAGCAAGGAAGAGGTCCGGGAATTCACGCAAATTTTTCAGTCAACAATAAAAAAGGCAGCAAAACATTTAAATGCACTGAAGCACATCTTTCATTTGAGCAGAACTGAAAGCAGTGTTTGTCATTAGATTGCGCTTTTATGATTTAAACTCAAACTATTAAACTGAACTAGAGCTAAGCTCATAGCAGGACATAACACACCTTTTAAAAAAAGTGTGTTTTCCATTTATAGATGTAAACGCACATCGGTCTGTGAGCCGTGGGACCATAAAATACATGCAAATCATCTTAGGGCCTCTATCAACCTTACTAAGAATAAGATGTTGTGTCAAGGAAGCAGATTACTTCCTCACTAGCCAGAAGTGATGATCCCTGAGGTCGACCAGACGTAGAAAAACATACATCTCATTACATGATCTTGTATATGTTATAGTGATAAGCATGAAGCAATGGTTAAGCTTACTACAGCACACAGAGTTGTTTAGTCTTGTACAATCCTACAGAGTTTATTTTCAGAAATTTCTTGTTACTGATAAAACTCAAGAAGTTGCTGTTTGTTGTAACTCACTATTCAGTAGGAATCCCTCCTGGTATAGTGAGAGTCTCTTAGTGCCTGACAGCACGGTTGCCATGGTTATTTGAAAGTATGGAGGTTGCCCTCCAGGTAGTTATACTAGCTTGGAAACATATTTAAATGCTAGTGATAAATTCAATGCAAATAAAGGTAAAATGTGTGATGATGTGAAAACATGACTTAAAACATCTGGATTTCTTTTTATGCACCTCTATTTGCAGTTTTCAACAGCTTTCGTCAAATCAACATCTTTAGTATAGAAACTGCACACTCTTTTGTAGATGATGACACAGGGCAGGTAGCGGAACTTGGATTAGGACAGGTACCAGGAAAGCCAGGTAGAAGAAGAAACAATAAAACGGGTAGTAGGACATGTACTAAGATATATAACAGGAAAGGTCCTAAAACTAATTGTTTTGAAGATGTTAAAATTTCTTCTGCATTTAAACTTTTCCCTTCCTTTTACAGTCGATGCTGTGACAAGAAGAGCTGCGGGAATCGCAACGAGACACCTTCAGATCCAGTCATCATCGACAGGTAAGGACTCACCTGACCTCAGTTCCTGAGCTGTATGATTATCATTTGTTAAAGATGGATTCATGTTTCTGTTTTTGTGGTTCACTTCATATCGATCTGATGCCACTTTAGTGGTTTTTGAGCTGATGCTCAGCCAGTTGTTCAGTGTGACTCCTGCCAGGGGATGCAGCACCCTGACCTATTTTTAGCCTGTGGACTCAAACGCTATACGATTTATGCAATCTTGCCATTTAGACATCCTATAAAGTCTGTGTTTGAGTTCAGAAATCTCTGTCTCAGTCTTGGCACACAAATAAAGTTCAGTTGGAGGAAGCGTCATGTAGTATTTGTCATTGCTGCTGCACTGAAACTGGATCGTTGGTCTGAGTCATCATGAAACTTTAGAAAAAGATATATTTACTAGAAACCGTGCATTCTGTTTGAGGGAGGAAAATTCTGGTTTCTATTGCCTTCAGGGACACAAGCCTATCCAGAAGGTTTATCCTTGAGACAGACCTGATCATGAGCTAGTCCTTGAACACAGCTCATGTTATTTTTTTTAGTTACTTTAATTTTATTTATTTATTTTAACATAACCAAGCTTCAAGCAGCCCATACCTGGAAGTTCAGCAGTGTTTTAACTGTGCAGAGCAATTAAAACATGAAAGTGGGTGCATAAAAACATGGAAAACCTTGAGCAGTGTTTTCTTCATCCGGCTGCTGTCGATGCACAGCTGGCATCGCTCTGCTGTCTTTGTTTCTTCCTGCTTTTTCTGTTTTCTGGCATCTCACTTCTTTCTCACCTCTTGTTTCCGACGTCAGGCTCGTCTGTGTGAACGGTTTAATCAACACCACCAAGACAACATTTCCAGTCTGCAGCGCTAACCCACAAATCAGATCTCTGCATTCCCATACTGCATGTTTAGGTCTTTCTGTTGGATGTTGAATGTTGGAATTTTTTGTGTGTTTATTTAGCTGAAAGACCTGAATGCTTCCTTGTCGAAGAACTCTGCAGGTTTCACGAGTTATTCCTGATTCCTGACAAACTGCTGACTTTTCTGCACCTTTACATGGAGCTCCGAGTTTAATTTCAAACAATTCTCTCATCCAATGCCACATTAAAGCCTCCAGAATTCCCACAGTGTGAATATTTATCCAATCAGACGCCAGCAGACATCGTCCTCACTGCCCGCTCTGTCCTTGGAGTCAGCGTCTGTCTGTCCCATATGACAGCAGGCTGTGATTGGCTGAGTAGCAGCGGTGGGAGTCGGTGACCTCAGTGGAAGCTAGTGGGGGGTTATTTCATCACTGAGTCCATGTTGGCCTGGTAGTGGCCTTGGTCTGCAGCCAGAACAAACACACAGGTGAAACACGCTTTCATCCGGCATGAGTGCTGGCACATGTATAGGAGACCATGCATACGTGTCTGAACATGCCAGATACACACAACACTCTGAAACGACCTCTCACCTTTTGGGGAGTGCGTGTGCTCTGCTGTGTTTGTCTGATGGTGTTTTTAGCAGTACTGTCACCTCTCGATGTGTTTGGTCACACATGAGATGGACTCGGCTGAGAAGGTTTTTCACAATGAAGCACAACCTCAGGAAATAAATGTGACCTGATTTTACAGGAGAGACGTTAAAGGGCAACAGATGTTCAGTTACAGAGAGCACTTCATTCCCCATCGACTTTACACCAAGATGCAATCACCTAACTTAAAAAGGTTTTTCTATTTTATTTTGTCTTATTAAATCAATTGATTCTGAATATTAGACTTTAGGCAGAAATGAGCTCATAACCTCTAATATAGCAACATAAATGTTTCATTTCAACTGTTAAGCAGAGTGGTAAATGTAAATCCTTTGTTGGCACCTGGGGAGCAGTCTGGAGTTAAGGGTCTTGCTCAGGGACCCAAAGTGGCAGTTCATGGGAGTCTGCGGAACTTGAACTCAGAACCTCCGGGACCCAAGGGCAATGCTCTAACCACTTGGCCCCCACTGTTAAGCACAGTGGTGGAGGAATGATGATGTGGGCTTAGAGTGAGATCATTGAGTTCATCTCAATCTCATCTGTATACCAAGGTACTCTAGAGTCTGTGACTGTCTGTCAAGAAGCTGTAGCATAATCCAAACTGGGTCATTAGCAGAGCCATTAGCTAAAGCTCAGCAACAGATCTACAAGAGAATGGATAGAAATGAAACAAACAATTGCTGTATTGACCTAGTTAAAATCTAAACCTTAGTCTGATAAAAAAGCTGCGATGGGAGCTTTGGAGAGGTGAGCAGAAGCTAAATCAACACTGGAAAGATGGGAAGATCAAAGTTCTGTGAAGTGATGCAAAAGACTGCTGAACGTTCTTCTGCTGGAGGAGGTTCTACAGGCTGCTCCTCACTGAAACAAAAATTATTTGCATTATTTATATCTGGTGTTCAGCACTAAGATAACAGCTTAATGTTATTATTCTGTCTTCAGATTTATAGCTGACTTTATAACTCCTTAGCAAACAAGACAATCCAGAGCTCAGAACGGGAAGCAAAGTTGTAGTTGAACAGACTTCCTGCTTGCCTTTTTGAGACAGGGTCTGTTCTGATGCAGCTTTACCAGGAGACCGTCGGTATATGCCTTCATACTGACCCCACCATGTTGCTGCTGATGGAACTCCACTTTCTACTTGTCCTCGTTGCTCCCTGGTTGTTTCTCTGCATTTGGCCGCTATAATTAGGACACAACAGGACATGTATTCTAGTCCACCAACCCTGGGATTGCACACACACTCAGACAGACACACACATCTGCATATTAATGGACACGCCGGCGTATTTGTGTGGACGCGCTGTCAGTCCTCTGCTGCTGATTTACCGCAGCTTCGGTTGTTTCGCTGCATTTTAGAGGCTGTTAAGAAATGCAGGGATTTATTGCTGCGGTCCAACACACACCATTGGCGGGTGTGTGGAGATGGTTGTTTTTAGTGACCCAACATGCAAATGATGTGGCTAAGGGGCTACAGTAAAGCAGGCCTCTCGCTGAAGTAAATCAAACACTGTCTGTTTCCTAACTTTGTTTTTTCATCACCTCTGTTTCACTTTCACTTTTATCACCTTTGGTTATGTTTCCTCCACCTATCACAACGTGGAGTAGCCTCAATGCCACTTCAATTTGAGTTCAATTTGAGATGTGAGCGGTTACGGCCTTTTGGAAGGACATTGGTTTTGGTTGGTTTAAACAGAGCTTTATGAGGACTTAAGCTCAGAGTTCTAACGCCTGCTGGCAGCATCCGCATCCTGAAGCTCTGAGCATCACCTGAAGGTCTCACTGACAGCCGCTGTGTGTGTGAATATAAATGCGTGCTGATGCTCCCCTCAGAGGTCGCTTTGTTTCCCTAGTTTGCCGGTTAATGGCTGAAATCCTGCCGAGGCAGCAGAACACGGCGCTGACGGATCGCCACGGCTTCACTGTTATTGCCCGCTAATATTGCAATTAGATGGGTGGCCAAGTTGCCCGAGCAGGGCAATAAATTGCCACAGAGTGTCAAAATGTAGGAAGAGGCTGGGCTCTAATTACCCGGAGCGCTCCTGTTCCCCGCCGCCTTGGCCCCCGCCTCCTCCCCCGCCTGACCATCACCTCCTGCTTTAATGGGCGAGCCTTACATGGAGGTCACGACCCCCCTTAGAGACACTTGTTCCTCCAGCACCATTTGCAGCTTTGATGGAAGCACTGGGGAGGTGAGTTTAGGGTGATAGAGATCAACCTCTGACCTTAGAAAAGCAGCGGCCTCACTCTGACAACACGCACTAATCTGAGTGGGGTCACAACATCTGAACTGTAGATCCTCAGAATAACAGAACAGAGGAGGCTTATTGAAGGTAAACCTATCACTGGTCACACAGAGAGGAAAGAAACCTCACAGAACCATGAAAAAAAGAAACACCCGACTGTCTGAAAATAGGGCGGGAAAAACTAAAAGCCAAGTCTAACCTCCACCTTTGCTCATGGATAAACATTTCACTCAGCTGCTTCTCCAGAACCCTATCCAGGATCATGAGATTCTGCTGCTACTATACAATAACCAAAACCCTCCAAAGAAGCGTTATGCTTAGTTCTGTCTAATATATATTTTTTTAATTCGTTAGTCTCCTAGTTTTGGTGCTCTTACTAGGTGTCTGTCCTGTTGCGAGGTATTAGTCCAGTCTTCTTGTCAATGTGAAGTAAAAAGGCAGATGATGCGTAAGCATTGGACCACTAGTGGGTAAAGAGTTTCAACCCTCCTGATTAGAACAGTAAACAGCAGCTTCATCATCAGAGATTTTGTGTTGTACACTGAAGAGTCTCGACTCTGTGGGTGGGTTGGGGGGTGGGGGGCGGTATCAGTCCCTGTGGACCCTCCTCAACAATTGCGGCACATTGATCGGGACAGCATGGCCAATTGGAGCCATACAGATTAACAGTATAGATTAACAATAAAAGCAGGACAGTGAGGCTACAACAGAGAGAAGGTAAAGATGGAGGATACAAGAGAGACTCATGGGGCAAAGAAGGCATAGAGGCTGCTGATGTAATAAGGGGGGGGGTGGTGATTATGGTGGAGATGAAAAGCTGTGGACTGGTACTTAAGTCACAGACAGTCCACATTGGAATATTTAGGAATTAGGGAATTTGAAGACTGGAGATCAAATCACAGAACCCCACTGGAGTTAACTGAGCTGCTGAGAGTGACCCTCCCCTCTTGTTTGTAGCAACAGCCTAGATGTCTGGGTTTTTGATTTTTTCACAGATGATGAAAGGAACTTGAACACCTGGCTTTAGTTATTCAGATCCATGAAGCAGACTGCTATCATACCAGTTTGATCAAAATCCATAATTTAATATTTGAAAGAGGAACAACGAGAAGGGCTTTGTGCAAGAGTCGCAAGACCTTTGTGCCTTTTCACCTTCTGACTGGGTAAACCAAAGCACAAGGAGTAGCTTCATCCAGTCGAGTCTAAATGTTCTGCTAATTGTCCCTCTTTTTCCCAAACGGATTT